TCGATATAGGAATGCATTAAAAATATCACACTTGAGTATGATTAAAAAAAATAGTAATTGCACAGCACATTTAAACCCAACTTTGAACATAAGCAATCTCCCAATGAATCTGGTAAACTTTTGTAGAATACTAATGTGAAACCTAAGTTTGGACGATGTCTTTGGCAGGAAGTTGGGAGCCAGAGGGACATAATGCTCAGACCTTGCTATGGTGCTAGGATAAATTCTGGTTGTACATGCATGGAACCGTGTGGAAGAATGAGGCTGTGGGTAGGAACCCAGAGGGGCTGTCTGCTGTGGTTGTATTTAGTATGATTGCTAAATATTTTCCATTCCCCTATTTACAGGTAGGGTTGCCAGATTTAAAACACAAAAATATAGGATGCACAGTTAAATTTGAATTTCAGACAATATGATAAGTAATTTGGGGTAGAAATATGTCCCATGCCATATTTGGGACCTTTGTTCATGACAAAGCCACACAGATATGTCAAATTAAGTGAGTGAATGAGATTGAAATAGGACCTTTGGTCTCCAAAAGTAGGTTATCCTACTTGTCAGTTAGTTTTTCCAGAAGAGTTTGTTCCCTTCTCTCGGCATGTGTGCTGTTGATTTTTTTTCATCATCTGTGCTTTCTCTGTATGTATTTAAAGATAAAAAAAAAAAAGTGAGTCATGACACATTAGACTCACTTAGACCTGCTGTGGATTCTCTGGCATGTTTTCTTTGATTTGCTCTGGAAACCTGGGTAGGGGCTGGAAGCAGAGAGAGGGGAAAGCAGGAGCCACCCCAGAGGGACGGGCAGAGATGGGGCTGGCTCGGCCCCATACTTCGAATCAGACCCGGCCGCATATCACCATTCTTGTGCAGGGCAACTGGCGGCACGTAGTGGAAATTAAATGCCATTGTAGTTATCAGACGAGTCACCCATCAGCGCGGTGCCTGATGCAGTTTGCCTCCCCAGACCCTCTCCCATAAATCTCCGCCTAAATTAGAACGAGAAGAGATATTCGGCTTCAGATTTCTGCCAGGCTTTCATTAATCCTCTAGACACTGGCGGGATCTGTCTCGCCTTCTTTTCTTTGCCAGCGAAATGACACGTAACAAAGAAGGTACCTCCGAACACGCTGGTACATCCCTGACAAACTTTCATAAATATGCCCAGCTGTTTCTGCAGTCTCGGCTCCGTGTAGCCTGCAAATGACTGATTAATTTGCACACAGCTGCTACAGATTCTAGGGAGACAAGCTCCTGAAAACAGTCAGTGGTGCTGGTATGAAGCCTCTAATTTCCTTAAGTGAAAAGTTTCTAAAGCTGTTTAAATTGTCCAAGGAGGCTGCAGAGGTAGGACTCCTGGGCTTCCTCCTGGCTTGTCTGACAGCCTCACAGTTGTGCAGAAAAATCCGCTTAACTGTTGAGTGCGTGCATTGCCCGATAGTCTCAGAGCCACCAAGCCTCTGCTTAGCATTTTTTCTTGAAGGATTATTGGACACCTATGTAGAGCAAGGCCCTGAAAGAGACAGGGCACTGTTGCTGATAGGGCATTGTTGCCGACGGGACCCTGACCTTTAAAGTTGAATAGACCCAGATATAAACTCTACTTCCCTGCTCAACTTGAGCCTTGGGCCATGTCCTTATCTGTAAGAACTGAGTCTATATCAAAAGGCCCCTGGGAATGAGATAATGTTTTTAACGGGAACAATATAAAGTGTTTTCCTAGCCTTTCTCCTACGCGCTGCCTAAGGGAAATTTTGGGCCCTCTTGGCTGCTTTGTTTGTGCAAGTGGGGATAACAGATGGAGAAGGCAGTTCGGAAAGGTCTAGAAGACCATCTGCAATGACATGGGTAAGGCCAGAGATATACTCCTGGAAGTGACTTGTAATTGTAGACAGAGGAGAGGAAGAGGCAGGGTGCCAGAACTGACTGATGTCTGAGAAAGATTTTGGAAACTGGGAGGAGAGAGGGCTGATGAATATCTCCTGTGCTCTGCTCTGTGACATATGGGGAAAGAGAAAGGGAGGAAGGAAAGAAAATGTGTTGCTGTGGGTTATAAAGCAATCTTTCTGGAGTTGTTCAATGCCGTTTGGATGTTGGAGTCACTGATGAGTTGTGGTGTGGAGATGCTTTACCATCATTCCCAGGCAGGGTGGAAGATGGGCTGGGGAAGGGGAGCTGGGCAGGAGGTGGGATATCAGAAGGATAGACTAGACCAGATCAGAGCAGACCAGACTAGGTGAGGGAGGCAATGAGCACTTTCTAGTGACAGCGTTGTCCATAAGATCTTCAGCTGTATCCCGAGACGGTGGATCATGAATAGAATTGGGTCTTTCTTATTACGAGTCTCCTAATCTAGGGTATTTTCCTCATGCCTCCCTACCAGGCCACATTTATCTCCTTTAATATCCAACACAGTCTCTTCCACCTCTTACGTCTCCCCACCATGCTCAGCTCCATCATTTCTGAAGTTCAGATTTTGGACTCACAGTCTGTTCTACTGTCTTCATACCAAGCCATGCTGTTGAACTCTTTCCTGAGCCTCGCTTTTCTTTCCAATTTGATCATGAGCTCCTGGAAGGCAGTTGCCCTGTAACTCTTTTCTTTTATCCTTGGTGCTAAGCACTGAGGAAAACAAATAAATAGCTATGGGATTGGACCTTGTTGGGTTTCAGGGTGTACCATGCATGATGCTGTTTAAATTGTCCAAGGAGGCTGCAGACTATACTATACTATACTATACTATACTATACTATACTAAGACTATACTATGTCTTAGAAAAATGAGATACATCCAGATAAGTGTTGAATTTTCCATGAAAATGGAAATCACCCTGCATTATCTTTGAAGAATTCAGTAAATCAACTTAATATAATATAAATCCATAACAGGAACTTGTAATTGTTCTATTGCTGAGCTAAGCAATGACCCCTTCTAGCAGCAGGTAAAAGAACAAACAAGTCACTGTTTGGACACACCCATGTGTGAATAGCTCCTTTTAAAATTGCTGTCTGATCCGAAGAGGCTTTAATTTATTAGTACAGATGGTTTAGGTGGTTCTGTATTTATTGAATTTCTACAATCTCATTTCTCCAAAAATCCTGAAATGATGCCTAGAGAAGACTGAATCTTCGTTTAAACAAGATCTGTTGTTGTTCTCATTTGATTGTACAGGTTGAGGCAAGGGAACAGAGTCCCTAAATAGCAGAAATCAAAAGCCCTATATGTCCCAAGAGTCACAAAAGTGAGGTCTATGTTGACAGTGACAAAGAGAAAATGCAGAGGAGGAGGAATGTGTAAGAGAAAACAAACAGCTCATTTGGCAATCATCGGGAGATTTGATTTGTGTATGCTTTTCAAGAAATGAATTCAGAGAACTTTAAAAAAAAAAGACATTCCAATAGTGAGGTTGGTGGCTGGCAAACAATCATTTCCCCGGTTTCATGCAGACAAACCGAGATCCAAAAACATGAAGACCATTTGAAAATAATCAGTTAAATAACCCTGCTTTGGTCACTGAGAGAATTTGGCTTGAAGAATATTTATCATGTAAAAACTTACAAGATCTATACATGAGGGAAGGTCTAGTCCTATAACAAAGGAGCTATTTGCTTTACAGAAGGATTTTTCCAAAGTTCCTTTAAAAACCAAAACAGCCAGTGCACATGAATTCTGATTTGGTTTTTAGATATTTGATTTACCCACAATTTTTCAAGAACTCTGCAATTGCATAAAAACATTGAAATGGAGGCAAAGCCAGGCCAGTTCAGTTTCAATTTGAATTAGAAGTGGCCCAAGTGTTTGAAGGGTGCTATTTCTTCCAGATCAGCTTATACTTAACTTTATTTCCTTACAAAATGGAAAAAAAAAATTTTTTTTTGACTTTGTGTGACTTTCCATCACAGATATATATTCTTAGGTGTGATTCAGCTTTATCTCCTATTTTCTTATCTGCCTAAGAAGATGCAGTTGTTCAAAACCAATTTACTTGCTAATTCTTTCCTCTGTCATCTTTGTAATTATTTCCGATAGGCCTTAGCTAAACAATTCTTTCTCCATCATGTGGTTTCATCTCAGCTGAAAGTTTGTGTCCGCAGAGTCTGTTGTTATGGCAACAGCTGGGCTGTTACCAGCTCGATATTATGGTTTTACTGCAAGAAAAGGAAAAGAAAAATGAGCAAGGGTGGAGGGGAACATTTGGCCATTTCCACATATCTGTTTTTAAGTAATTGATCTTACCTCCTCTGTCATAGTTAATTTTTTTGCATAATTCTCTCCTTTCAAGGACCTTGAGTTCTACTAAATGAGTCATCTTATGCACATTGGTAATTTAATTAATATTTATTGAGAAGGGACCATGAGGTGTGGTCTAGCATAGGCATAATGATTCATTGATTTGGGCAAGCATTCCATAAATATGTATTGAGCAACTACCCTGTTCCAGGTAAGGTTTTAGGGGCTGGCCCCGCAATGAGTATATCAGACAATGGCCTGGCTCTCCTAGAGCCTACATTCTCTTGGAAGAGACAGGCAGTGAACAAGTAAAGGCATACATGTGATGCATTCAGATGATTACATGTGGTGTGAATAAGATAAAATAGCATAGTATGACAGAGAGATGGGGGAGCATTGGAGAGGGCTCTCAGGGGAAGTCTGAGACCTGACACTGGAACTGACGTCTGAATGATGAAGAGTGGAACATGTGAACATAGTGGGAGAAGGCTTTCCAGGCAGAGGGAACAGCAAGTGCATGAAATTGCTTGAAATTTTTTAAAGGAGAAAAATGCCCAAAGAGTCTGGAGGGTGGTGAGCTAGGGAATGGAGAGCAGGAGGGGAGATCTCGGAGGTAATCAGGGGTCTAGTGATCGGTGGTGATAGGAGGGTCAGCTTCATGGGTGAATGACCCATACAGTCAGTTACTCAGGACTTCGTGACCTGACTTAATGCTATGCTGTTTCTGTCTTGAAGTTCTTAATGATTTTACCTTCTTACCTGTGTTTCTTAGGTGAAATCTAATGAGACAATGGGTCATGTGCGTGAGCAGAGGCGGTATGTGTCTGTCTGCTGTTCCTTACCAGTCACTTGCATATAGCATTTGTGATGACCCATGAACACAGAATTCCAGCAGACCCCCGTGTGTGGGAGTTCAGCAAGGCTCCAAGTGAGTACAAGTTAAAGGTGTTATATCAACAACTCAGTAAGTGGGGCACTAATAGCCCAGAGCGGCCATGCACTCTGAACCAGAATTCTCCTTGAACACAGAAGGAAGGCAGTGGCATTCTAGGAAACACTAAAGATCAAAGAACCATATCCTCTCCTTTCTCACTCATGTTTCTTCCCCATACTGCCCAATTACTGCCACTGAAAGTCATGAACAGGAACAGGAGGAAAAGGAAAGATAGAGCAACTCATTTTCCTTTCAGTCATTCCTTACTCACCAGTAAGCCAAAGGTAGGTAGTGTCGGTAGAACATGTGGTATCTAGAAGTGGGAAGTAAAGACAGTTAAGTTAGTTTTGTGCAGAGTTTCCACTCTCCTGGTAAGAAGGAAATACATATACATGTGCGAGTTACTGACTACAGATTGTGTAATGTCTGTGATTTCACATGCCAATTACATGCACTTACATATCCATTTAATACTGGCATTGCATAATGTAAAGATGAACAGTAAAATTCATGCCCAGTAATTTAAAATTTCATGTTCCTTTACTGAGAATGACATTAAGTAGCAAATAGAAAAAAATCATGACACATTGAAAGATTGTGGAAGAAAGGAAAAAAGCCTTATATTTTAGTGCATTGAACAACACACTTTTCTTCCTGCTTTTTTGAACAAGGGATGTCTTAGTTTATCCAGGCTCTACCAGAATACCATGGACTGAGTGGCTTATAAACAACATAAATTTATTGCCCACAGTTTTGGAGGCTGGGAAATTCGGTATCTGGTGAGGACCCTCTTCCTGGTTCATGGACAGCATCTCCTTGCTGTGTCCTCACGTGATGGAAGGGGTGAGAGACCTCTCTGGGGCAGAGCCTAATCACTTCCAAAAGCCCCACCTCCTAATACCATCCCCTTGGGGGTTAGGATTTCAACATATGAATTCTGTCAGTTCCTAACAAGGGGCCCTCCATTTTCATTTTTCACTTCATTTTCACTTTTCGTTTCAATTTTCATTCCACAAATTAAGTGGCCAGCCCTGGTGATAACATAAGTCACATGACAACAGATATTATTACCTATTGGAACTTGGGGAAATTACTTTGCATTTCCACGCCTTGATTTTCTCCCCTTTGTCATGCAGATAAGAATACCCCATGAATGGGGTTGTGATGAAGTTCATTTCAGAAGATGCCCTACAAGCGCCTGGGTGGCTCAGTTGGTTAAGCGACTGCCTTCAGCTCAGGTCATGATCCCAGGGTCCTGGGATCGAGTCCCGCATCAGGCTCCCTGCTCTGCGGGGAGCCTGCTTCTCCCTCTCCCACTCCCCCTGCTTGTGTTCCCTCTCTCGCTGTGTCTCTCTCTGTCAAATAAATAAAATCTTTAAAAAAAAAAAAGAAGATGCCATACATCTGTCACTGGGCAGTTTTTTATATTCGGCAAGCATTCAATAAATAGCAATGCAGGGCCCATAAACAGACCCTGTAGCTTAAGATATGAGGTTCCGTGTGGATATGAATTATCTTAGCGTTGTAGAGATAGAAAAGGTCTTCTCGGTGAAACAATTTCTATATCTCCATAGAAAAATTCTTGCTTTACAGGAACTTGGGAGGGAGCACACTGCTAATATATCCCATAATACCTTGGCTTCAGGAAAGCATTTGACAAATTATTTTATGTTCTTTTCTGGAGAAGGAGAAACATAGGCTAGATGGTAAATCTGATAGATTTGTGTCAGTTCAGTAACTTTACTCAGAGAGTTTGATTAATGGATTATGGTAGCCTGGAGAGTGGATTCCAGCGATATGCCAGAGAACTTTGTTGTTGGCTCTGTCCTATTTAATATTTAATTCGTGGCTTCGTGGAGGACACATCAAGCATGATTACCAAATATGTGACCGATGCAACGTTAGAAGGAAGAGATAAAGCTTTTGTGACTAATGAATGATTCAAACATATTTTCATAGACTGGCATCATGAACCAAATCCAATAGGATGAATTTAACATATGGTTTAAGTTAGTTAAAAGTAAAATCAGAGGATAGACCATCCTAGGCTTACAAGAATATAAACTGTGACAAAGGGCTAAGGCTCAGAACTGTCTGTGAGTTATTCATTAATGCATGTATTTTTGCTTAACAGCTAAAGCACCAGTCAACATGCTGGTTGCTGTGAGGACTATATGAAGGTGCTAGAAACAGGGAGTATAATATTGAACATGGCAGTTACAGCACAACTCAGCCATGGAAGTGATTGAGGAGGGCAGGCAATACAGATGACAACCAAACATGAACTTCATTCATTATTTTATTTGAATCACGTGATCATAGACTTATTATATAGTCCTATTAAATATGGGGACCAAATATGGGAATATTTGGAATGAATATTGTAAGGTGCATCCAGAGGAGGGTACTATGAATAATAAAAAATTTAAAACTCTGTCACATGAGGAATGAATGGCCAGTTGAGGGTTTCCTATTGCTATTACCATTGTAATTGATGATACCTTATTATATAAAGTAAAACCAAATCAAAAAGAATCTCTGAGTTAGCTAATTTTGCATATTTAGCCTGGAAAATGCACTTGGGAAATGCTCAATTGCTATCTTTAAATATTTAACAGACTTTTATGTGGAAAATAAAATTACACTGTCTCTGTGTTGAATCTTATTTAGAATTAAGACAAATGAGTGGACATCATAGGAAGATGGATTTTGACTCAATGTACAGAGAGCCTTTCTGCTGAGAGTTGATCTTTCCATAATTGGGGTTGTCCTTTTTGGGCCTGAATGACCATTTTTCAGGCATGATGCTGAATTAAAGATTGAACCATACAGCTTCTGTGGTTGTTTCCTACACTAAGATTCCATCATGTTGTTATGGAATTTAACGCAATTCGACAACCATCTTGGCCCCTCTTATGTGGCGGCCACTTCACTGGGCAATCCAGAAGTTATGCAAACACTCAAAAAGACATTCTGCCTTCACCAGATGTACTATTGTCTACATGACTGACCAAGAATATTTAACCAAGAGAGCTATCGTAAAGACATTCAACTTGAGTTAAAATTTGAATGAAGCAAGGATTTCAGTTTTCAGAAATAACTGGGGAAAATGACAGAATAGAGAAATGTTGAGGTATAACAGTAGATACTTAACTCTACCAAGGATGGAGGTAGGTCATGAGTTGTCTACCACAAACTCAGTTGCAAGTAAAGTTAAAAAAAAGGATTTTAAAATATGTATTTCCACATGTCATGATGGGTACATTGAGGGGATGCAGAGGGGACAGGAACTGTGAACTTGGCTTTGGGGACGTTGTCTTGCAGATGTGTCCAGTACTTACCACATCCTCACCCCTGTCTGAGTGGTTCCTTGCACACAGGTCACCATTCTTGGGACCACATGACCCTGGCATCCCGGCCATGGCTAATGGGAATGAGGACAAGTGCAATGGGGGAGCCAGTGTGGTCTAGATGCGGGTTGGTGTGAGAGCTGCAGTCAGCATGGGAAATGAGCCACTGGCCCCAACACATGTTTTTCTCTTTGCAAGTGTGAATATGAAACATGCAAAGGAGCCAGCCCAGCAGGATTTGGCAGAAACCAGGACACATGCAGAGGAACGGCAGAGAACAGATTCCATGAGGTAGCAGAAGCATTGGCATGAAGACAGTGAGAGCAGAGAGCCAATGGAGCTAGGCAGCAGCAGCTGAGGTGGAGTAAGCAGTAGGTCATGTGTATGATGCCAGAGCACTAGATGCCCAGGCAATGGGTGCCAGGTACACAGAAAACAATATAAACATACGAGGGTGTACCTAAGTGTCAACTTCTGTGCTAGATCTGAAAACTCCTGCAGGAAAAATCAGAGAAAGATCATGGAGGTCTTGGGAATGAGGGAAGAGGTGAGAATCGAGGTGAGCACGGATAGAATTTGAATTGCCAAGGATGCTGTAGGTGGAAAGTAGGAATGGGAAGGCTCAGGTGTGGGGATGCAAAGAGCAGCATTACTAAAAGATGATACTTGGGAAAATGAACGAAGTGTATATGTGCCCTGCGGGGGCAGACAGGACTAAATTTCCCAGAATCCATTGGCCTCTTTGAAAAAATGTCAAAATGGCCTCCGTGTGGCACTTCCACAAGTGAACACTCTCTTCCAGAGAAGGTTAAGTTTCTACTGAGGACGAAGCATCAACATGGAATCCCTCCTGCATGTCCTCTCAGTCCTCAAGGTCTTCTCCACAGTCACACTGAACTCCAAGCTTTTGCGTTTGCCTCCACTGTGACAGGCTTGTTCTGACGGTTTAATAGTCTCTGCCGGCGAAAGTGTAAATTGTGAGGGTGATTTGGGGGACTGTGGACAGCTGACCACGGGACAAGGGTAGAGAGCTTCTAATCATTTTCTATAAATAGCTGAACTCTTTCCAACTGGTAATGATTTTCTGTCTCTCTCTCGGCAAATCCTGAACTGGAATCAAGAAGCAAATTGTTCTCTTTCCACAAGTCCTCTGACTAAAAACAAAGTGGGGTCAGTCATCAGCCTCCGATGGTTAAAGAGAAGAGCATTGTTTTCTCTTGCCACTGATGAGTTGTAAATAAATTTGATTCCCAGTCTTTAACTTAGAGATTCATGGCAGCTCTGGGAGAGGTGTAGACAAAGTTCGAGATTCTCTGTTGTCTGCTGAGGGTTGGACAAAGTGGTTTCTGTGTTTTCTTGAAGAGGTAATTTTAGCCAAGAGTCAAAATGATGGGGTGAAATCTCAGCAAATGCACAACACTCAAAGCAAGGCCTGGTCTATTAAAATCCTATTAACTGGATCACAAATTTCCCATTTTCACAAAAACTGCCAAGTTTGCCTGTTAGTTTATTATTCATACATGAAGAGATGCTTCTTGGAGGAGCTCCTAAATATAATTTCTCTCAGCCAATCAGACTGAGGGTTTCCAATGAAGTGATAAACACAATAGAATTCAGGGGGGTTCAGATGTGAGGTGGAAAATGAAAGCTGAGTTAATTTCTGTGAGTTGCCTTGTGTGAAGCAGCCAAAGAGATGAGGTGGGTTACAGAATATAAAAATATCTTCATAATCCTACTAAGAAGAGGAAAATAGGCTCCCACACTCTATTTCAAGAGCAGATGACAAACCCTTGATATACAGGGTAGGAGATTAAGCCAGGGGAGTTGTATCCATTTTCCAGCATTTGTAGGATGTTGGTACCATAACCCGCTAGAAAAGCCTAATCTTCCAAGTTGCCCATTTTTGCAGTGAATCTTCTAGAACATTTATGACTCAAGGTCACACAATGAGTGAATCTGCATTCTTACTGAAATCACTCTCCGTTCCAGCATGTCGAGACCAGGGAAGAATTATAGTGGAAGAGTGGTCACAGGAGATAAAATGGCTTTCTGTAATTGTAAACTATAAGACTTTCTCAGGAATGTTGGATCAATGCGCATTCCTTGAGATTTATTGCTAGACCAGTGTGATTGACTAAGAAGGGCTGAGTTTTCATCTGCTTAGAGAACTGGAGGAGGCATTGGTGACCTCAGTTCTGGTCCTAACTCCTCCTCTGGAGTGTTGTGTGAGTTTGGTTAAGGGAAACTAACTTTGTGCTCTGAAACCTCGGATGACAGAATGACTATACTGATAGTTAATAGGCCTTTAGTTGGGGGGCTGCTACCTGGGTCTCTCTTGCTTCCTGCCACAAGGATGAAGGATACTAACCTGACTGGTGAGCTTAGTAGATGCTCTGGTACTCTGCCTGTGTCCTCCTTTTAGGAGAGGACATTTGTCATCCAAACTGCAGGGAGTGTTAATTATTGACAGCTCACAGCTCTGTCCCTCCCAGGAATTGTCCCTGGCTTAAGGGTGCTACCTTGCCCGAGGTCATGTCCCTTCTTCCCCAGGCATCACCCTTACGCAATGACTTTTGATACCAGGATACAAAAGCCTGGGCTTCTTGCCTCAATTCAGGACAACTTGCAAGAGCCATATGAGCTCCAGAACTTATGGAATCAGCAGAGGTCTCTGTCATACCTACATTGCACTTCAAGTTTTGTCTCTGCCCAATCTTGCTTTTTTACTGCCCCTCCCCCAACACACCCAAGGGGTGATCCTACAATACCTTCCAATATACTTTCTCCTATAAATCTCTGCTTCAGAGTCTATATTCTGGGAGGACCAATGTGAGAGAGTGAGAGGCTAGGATATTGATTATGCCTTATTTATTACAGAGCTGGGTTATTATTTTTTGGTAAGTTATTTAATTTTAACTCTTAAAAAATATTGCAGGGGGCCTTGAGATATGCCTATCCTAAGGGGCCATGGGTTAGAAAAGGCTTAGCCACACTCATATAATTTCA